AATACTGAGAGCTCCCAAAGCAACTTCCTCCCGACTCCCTACCACTGTACTGCCATCTCTGTCCTGCCAGTGTGCAGGACATACCCCTGGGAAGGCGATGGTAGTGTTTAAGGCATTTTCTGCAAAATACGATTCTGCGAATATGACTATATCTGGCAACTGTTTGATCAGTCTGTGGGACAGCTTTCCCAATCTCAGCACAATGTGGCACAAAGCCCTGGATTTTAATAAGGAACACTTTGCAGGTTTGTCAGTGCTAGATAGCCATCGTTGTTTCCAGTGCCTTAGCTGATGTTGGGTGGTCTATTTGGTTTCATTTCTTCTTTTAGACTTTGTAGTGTTTTTCATACAATCGAGTGGCTTGCTAGGCAATTTCAGAGGGAAGTTAAGAATCAACTCGATTCAGACTGGAGTCACATATAGGCAAGACGGAGTAAAGGCTGCAAATTCCCTTCCCTCAACAGCATTAGTGAAGCAGATGGATTTTTAAGACAAATCAACAATGGCACATTGATCCCCATTCAGCTAACATTTTAGTTCCAGACATTTAACGAATTCAAATGTCACTATCTGCCATGGTGGGCTGCAAATCACGTCCCCAGAACATTACCATTATGCCGCTGCTTCCTGTCTCTTAAAACACAAAAGTGACATTATTATGTTCACAATTCCACTCTCACTTGGACCATTCTTGACAATAAAATTATAACAGACTACAATCTCATACTCATTCCACAGTCTAATAATAAACAACTTCCTTCTGGAATGTATTTAAATATTCATTGTACTCTTTTCTTTCTAAAGTAAATAAGCAGACCTAGACATTAGGTGACAGAACCATCGTTGCAACAATGCAATCCCAATTTCAAACTGATGTTCTTATTCCAATTATTATGCTACCAGAAAGACCTATTTTCCAAATGACATGGCGAATACTGCCTATTGTTTCAAATATTGATTTCAGACATTTCTCTTTTCAAACTGAATGATAGAAGATAGGGCATTTCATTACACTGAAACACCCAGGCATTCTACGACTGACTAGGTGCTCAGCAGCTCACCACATAGAAAGGGAGGAAAAGTCAAAGAACACTGAGGTGTGCTTGTGTAAAGGCAAACAGGTCATCAGGACCTGAAGGCCTGTATCCAAGGGTTTTAAAGGAAGTGGCTGCAAAGGTATTAGAAGAATTGGTTGAAATAGTCCAGACCTCACTGGATTCCTGGAGGGTTCCAGTGGACTGGAAGTTGCTAACGTGACCCCCTTGTTCAAGGAGGGACAGAGGCAGAAAACAGGAAACTATAGCATCTGTTGTTGGGAAAATGCTGGAGGCCATTATTAAAAGAAAAAAATAGCAGGGCATATAGAAAAAGCTTAACACAATCAAACAGAGACAACATAGTTTAGTGAAATGGAAGTCATACCTGATAAATTTGCTACAATTCTTTGATGAAATAATAGGCGGAACTAATAAAAGGGAATCAGTAGAGGCGGTATATTTAGACGTTCAGAAGGAATTTGATAAGGTGCCACATGAAGGGTCACTGCATAACATAGGAGTTCATGGTATCAGGGGTAATGTATTAGCATTGAGGATTGGGTAGTCCATAGAAGAAACAATTCAGGATAGATGGATATTTTTCCAGTTGGAAAAACATAAATAGTCGAGTGTCCGAAAGACCAGCCCTTCCCCTGGAATCATGACAGGATGTATGCAGGTCCAGCTCAGTGGAAGGTCCAGCCTGCTGCCAGCCAATCAGAGACCGGCAGCTCTTGCACTCAGCAGTGCCACTGAAGCAGCTGTGGCTGCTGCAGGAAAAAGCGTCCCAGGATTGCAGAGGTCTCAGGTCACACAGAAAAAAAAAGAGATCCTCCACTCCCACCATTCCAAACAGCGAAATCCCAAAAGCCCCACCATGACCCCACAGCCATAAAATCCAGTCCTGGGTATTTTAACCTTGTACCATGAAAAGCATATTCAAGTGGTCCAAGTTTCTTTTTCAATTAGCTCTTCAGTGTTTAACACCAGCTTTCACCTCCAAAGTTTCATTAAATATAAAGCCTGCAATGGAAAACATCAGCTTCTTATAATTTTAAAGATTTCCTTATAGAATTGTCAAGTCTTTCTTTATACAGCATATTTATTAAAATACGAGTCAGAGCACACACTGGACTTTTGTCTCAAGAACTACTTTAAATCAGAAACAATGGCTCTCTTTAAGTACCGAAAGCCTATGCTAATGCAATAAATATGGCTGTACAGTACCATGTTACACTATTTGCACAATAGTTCTTGTTTCAATGTAGAAAAAGTAAAACAAACAAAAATTTCTGGTTGATACCAACACTAAATAATGCCAATATTTGTACAATCTGCTTTTACATTTATCACCCCCGTATTTTAAGCTCCCTGTCAGACAGAATCAATAGTATAATCACTCCAAATAGCTATGCAAGTTACCATTTGATCTGTTCGCAACATTTAACCATTCTTAAATGCAATTAGATGAATTCTTCTTCTTGGGAAGTTAGTATGAAGCTGAAGGTGAGTGCATTTTCCCCTTAATTTACAATATGCTTATGATTTCAACAGGCTCAGAGTCAGATTTCATTGGGGCTAGTTCAAAATGAGTAAATGAAGTGCATAAATGGTACATAACAAATCCGAAGTCATTTGTTGTTATTAAACAGTCTAAAAATTAAGAATGCAAGATAGAAGAAAAGAAATACTTTCCACAAAATAAGACTCCAAAAAATACTTTAAATTCACAAGATTGCATTAAAATAGGGAGAATGACTCAGAAAACGCAAGTAATTTAACATACTGCACTATTAACATATATTTTTTGATACAGAAATCAAAAGAAAATGCATTATTACAGCTGGTATAGATTGCGGTTACGAGCTGCATTTTTCCACACACTGCAGGTCCATTAAAACATGCTCAAACCTTTTCTTAGGCATAAAAATCAATTGATTAGTGATTTCTGGCCAGTAATATGAACTTTCATATCTTTTTGGTACTGACACTGCATATAACGTTCTCCCTGTTTTAATTTAAACTATTCCAATGTTAAGGGTAAAATAAAATGTTGCAAAACAAAATGTGCAAAATATACAACAGCAATAAACCACAGGCAATACTATTAAGTTCAATACTGTTGCAATCTTGTTAAAATAGTTTTAATAAACGCAATTTTTAGATATATGTAGTATTATTGTTCATGCATTGCCCTTCTACAAAACTAGTTAACTGCCAAGTTAGACCATGTCCTTATGTATTACGTGTGTGTTGAGCTCAGTTACTGCTTCCTGTCATTGCTTGTTATAACACTTCAAATGGAAACCCAAAGACAGATTTAAATTATTCTTTACTTAAACAATGGCACCATTCATGCACACTAGTTCCACATGTTAATTCCAGATACGCTTAAAAGGGTACTGTATGATCTACTACCAAAATAGGTCTCTATAATAGCTTTTCTTTACTTTAGTGTATTATTTACCAAACATATAGCTAACAAATTTCACGTACTCATGTTCACTACTACCTATATCTCATTCAAAAAAATGCAAGGTATTTCCTTTCTTTCCAATATATTTGTTCTATCATATCAAAATGGTTGAGTAAAACATAAAAATATTTCAGTTAACCATAACCAACTGAATGCAAAAGACAAATGGTACTCATTTCCACAGTACTATCAATACTATGTCATCATTTATTAACATTTTATGAGTTTATAAAGCAAATGTTTCCCATTCAATATATGCTCTAACACCCACACACCAATTTTGAGGCTACAAATCTCTCCAGCTCTGCTGGAGTCCCCAACTCCTATAAACCATGTGTTCAATGTGGTAGGTGATCTCTTCCCAGACTCCCATCAATGCGGAGTCAACCACAAGGAGGTCCCAGCATGAATGAGGTTGACTTTTGTCCCCATGTTGAGCTGCATGGTACACATTTAACATTTACCCGTGGCAATATGGATTGGGGATGCAATGCAGCCACAAGGAAAGTAAATTTACATGTTATTCCCCAAGGTAAAAAGCTTTTTAATATATTTTACACCCTGTGCCATTCTTTATTCTACAAACAGTTGTCATTACAAGGGACCTTACATAAGGAAGTCTGTTTCAGCTGCAGTGATTTTTTAAGTGGGGAAAATGAAGCATTCATTTCTGCCTTACAATAAGCAACCCAGGATCTTAAATGCCACTGATTAGCAGTAATATTGGTTGAAGAAGGAAAGTTTTTCCAGACCACTGGAAAAATCCCCTTAACTCGACCTGTAGCGTGTTGGATTTTTAACCACCTGAAACACCTGAGTAGACAGATGCGGCCATCTCATTCAAAAGTGTTCTTTCAGTACCGTATTAAGATATCATCTCAAATCAGCTGTTCATTATCTGGTTTTAGGTTCAATTCAATAGCTCTGAGAAAGGTCCTAAGCGAGTAAAATCCACAGTGCTCCACCTGCATTCATTTTGTTTCCAAGCTGTTTTTGAAGAGTCTACATTAAATGGGCTTACAGAGCCATATATCGTCACAGACAGCCTAGAAACATGAGTTTAGCTCACAAATTAGACATGGTGAAAGGACTCCATGGAATACACAATTATTGGACAGAATATTGCATTCCGGAGTAATTCATTTTGAAATTATCTTCGCAAATGAGATTTGCAATGTAATCTCCAGAGGGCAATTCTTAAAATCAGCTCAATAAAATTCAACTCCTCAGAGAATACAATAAATCAAACCATACTGAAAACTAAATACGCCCAGACCAGGTGTGATAATAATTGCATAAAAGAAAATATGCGCAGATTAAAGAAGACAAATAAATTCATTTTCAAGGTCATTTTATAAAAATTTCTCCATCTTTAATTTACAAACTGTTAACAATTTTGCATGTTAAAAAGAGATCCTTTTAAAAGGACCTGAAGTTCTTGTTGACTTTATTACATTAATCAGACAGTCTCCTCACCCTGTACTTACTTATCTTGTTACTATCACTGGCTGTCTCTTCTGACCCATCATTGTCCTCTTCATCGTCCCCTGAGGAAATGGCATCTGGAAGAAAACCATAACCTATAATCTCCCCAAGATAATGAAAATTCGATAAATGGATATTTGCTATGTATTTCTAAAGCATTTCCTCCCTTGATAGCCAAAGATCATTAACCCTTTTTCTAACTGGTTTTTAACAATAATCGTGCAAAGTAATTAAAGTATCACAATATCCATGTTAGGCACCATTACAAGATATCGTACATAATAATCTTACTTGGTTTTGGCGGTTTAAATTATTCCCACCCAGGCCAAACACCATGTCAAAACCTAATCACCTCCACCCACTACCTCCTGAGAGTCACACAAGATGCTTGGCATGACTTGCCTGCAGTTCAACTCCTCCCCTTGATGACTCAACCAAAATATGAAACTAGCTTTCTGAGGCAATCCCGACTACCGCACAGTCTTAAATTTTAAGTTGCAAGTGTACTAAGATCAATAATTACTACACTGCAGATGTTGACAAAACAAAAGGTAATTTGAACAGTCCTTCCATTGCAGACTAAAATATCAAGGATTGAAAAGCAATATTTTTCTCTAAAATCCAATAAACGAAACAAGTTTAATTAAAATGTATCCACGTGGAATAATTTGATATGTGGCAAGCTTGATTTTTGTTAATCATGTAATGTATGCTAATAAAAAAGGTTTATAGGTATTGAAATTGACAAACTTATAAACTCCAGGAAACATCTGCATGAACCTTTTCGAAAACTGTCATATTCCAGACAGTTAATCCTGCCACACAGTCTGTCAGTTCAGGTTTCAGTTTGTATTTGTCCTCAGTGCCAAGTAAATTATTTCCAACACCACCACTCCTAAAAGCTTTAATTAAATGTTGTTTGGAGATGCAACAGGGTCAGTATGTCAAGCTTCATTGAATTTCTAGGATCCAGTTCAAGTGTTACTCACCTGTAATGTTTACAACGAAGTACACGGTATCACTGCCTATTGGTCTAATTGCAGTACAAGCATAGAGGCCCGAATCCTCATGTGTGGCATCACTAATCTGCAAGTACTCTCTGATTATGTAAGTCTTATTGCTGTACCCCAACTGTTCCCCATCTTTAGTCCAACTGATGCTCTGTACATCCTCTTTCAATGGACATTGCAACTGAAGCAAACCTCCTGGATGCGTGTACACTTCAGGTTGAGAGATTTGGTAGTTTGATGGAGGCTCTGCAAAGCAAGAAAAGGAAGGAAGGGGTGGGAAGGAAAAGGAAAGTTGCAATATATGTCAGAAAATCTGACTTCAGTTGTTGCCCCATGTTGCCTTAAAAATAAGCAATAGCAAGCCAAAGCTTAACATTAGAAATGAAACCACATCTGCCAGTAGACTCATAGGGGTAATTTTAAAACTTTTTGCAACAGAGTAAAAATGTGCAATACCGGAGGTCAATGGGAGGGAAATCTGGGAAAAGCGTGTGGCCATTCCGGTATCACCCACTTTATGCCATCAAAGATAAAATTACCCCACTGACTTTACTTACATACACTAAGGTTAGCATACAGCAGAGGGATGATACAACCAATTAAAAATAAAAACCTCAAAACACAACAAATTTTAAACTAAGATCAATTATGGTTCCTCGTAAAGAACTATTTGTTGTGTGCTCCCAACAAACTGAAAACATAGTTATGAGTAATTATCAGACACATTGTAATATATTTATGAACCTTGCCTTAAATATTCAACAGTTAGAGATTTTTATGTCTGTAAAAAGTATCACTTTAAAAAAAGTTATGTTAAACTGACATGACATTGCAAAAGCTTAAAGAACATGAAGATAATCTCAACAAAATGGCATGAACAACATTGCTTTACAAGGTCATTAGCTCCACACCTTATCAAAATGCTTCCAAAAATATAAAGGTCAAATGTTGAGTTTCTATGAAACTAAAATAAAAACAATTGCTAGGATTAAAAAAATTGAACTTCTTGGGCAGATGACAGTATAATTAAGAGGTATACCTGGGGGAAGGGATAGGAAACATAGTCTGGACCCTGGTTCCATGGGATTCCACCACTGTAACTCACAGTCCTAGAGTGGAAGTCAAAATTCTGCTCCTATCAAAGAGATGTGGGGAAAAAGGAGGCTTCTAGGTTTCACTAGTAATTATTTCATTTAATGCTCTTGAAAGGTTTTAGTGGGACACATTGGACTTGCAGTCCAAGGACCTTTTGTGATCTTGTACAGAATGGATCAATTACCTTGTTTCAATAAACTGCCTCCAGGGCATCAAGTTGAAAATAAAATTCTTTGGCGTTTTTAGGCTCAACCACTTTGCAGGAGCCACTATTGAGTGAATCCTTTCAGGTGCCAGAGGCAAGCCTCAACTGTACAGAGGACCTAGACAGGATCTCCGGAATCTCCAGATAGGATCTCTGGTCATATACAGGAGTTTAGCACAGGTCTGCCTCTATAAATGTGTTAACTGAAGAATAACACATTAGGGACAACTCGGGAGGAGAGGCTGGAGATACATTTCTCAATAGAGAGGTGAGGTGAATTGAAGGAGGGAAAATCAAGTTAGACAGTTGTAGCTGAACTAACATCTGATTCTCTGCAAAGACTGGCTCAAGTGTAGCATCCGACCAGATACCTACTGTGCTTTGAAGTAGGAAGTGCACAGTGAAGCCATATTATGGAAATAGGCAAAATAAAATATTGAATTCATATTCTTTCCAGACTATGCAACAGAAATAAATATATTACATTGGTATTGAGGTCATGTTTTATTTCAGTCTATATACCATACTAATTTATAAACTTGCTTAAGAGCCAGAAGTCATTTTCCAACAGAATGACATCTGTTAAGAGAAACCTGTCTTAGACATGTCTCTTTAATTAAGCTGTAATTACGTTAAGAAAATTACTCCTGGGCTTTCTTGTTTCAACAAGGAACTGCTGTAATGAATCACCAAGTATTTCTTGTACTACACTCCACCAAGACTGTGTGAGGCAATTTGATATGACTGGCATTTACATTCCCCGATGACAAAGTGACTGCAAAATTACTTTCAATTGTGCTCTAGTTGAAAAAGCCTTGAAGGAACAACATTTCATAAGGCAAGCTTCTTTGGAGACATACAAATTATAATTTTTCATTTACAGACTCTCTAAGCAATGAGCTCCAATCTTCTTACCATCAGTTCTTGCAAATTAATAAGCCTTGCAGACATTTTATGTAAAAATAAACTTTAATGGAGAAACTTTTCTCTCCACCACCCCATTCATACAATGAAACACTAACAATTGTGTATTTTCAACTCCTTTGGGATCCACTCAACCTCATCTTATCTCTTCTTACTCAGGATTAAAAGCATTATCAGAAACATTAAATACAACAAAACTTCTATATTAAGAACAAATGTACATTCAAAATCCCTGTGCTAATACTTTACAAAGGAAATAAAAAACACTTCATATACAAGTATATGAATTAAATGCAGCACTTTCTAGTGAAATTACAAAGGGAAGAACTGGTCAAATTGTAAGGAAATTTCTTGTGTTCTATGTAGTGAAAAGGCAATACTTTTCTGCACAAAAACCATAAACATGTTGCACATCTTTCACACAAAAAATATTGAATCACATCACAAAGCCTAGCAGTGCCAACAGACTGGAGTGATGGTCAGTGCAGCATTAATTGGGTTATATCACACAGGTGAACAAACTGTACTCTTAAGTTATTTCTTATCTAAGCAACATTTCTAAATAGTGACACCATCGTGAATATTTCTTAAAGAAATCATAAAACTGAGGTTTTCTATTTTCCTGACTTTTTTTTAATGTTATGCAAGCCTGATCTGCTCCCTTAAATGGTCCGAAATCCTCAGCAAGCATAAGGAATCCTGGGGCCATAGGTACTTCAAGTCACAAATACAAGGAAGTAATGAAGTGAACAAAAATATACTGCGTCAATAATGAACTAACTCATATCACAGTGTATTATACGTCAACGAAAAACTTCCTCCAGACCCCACTCTGGTAGAAGCCCCATTATGGCTGGGGCCCATATACCATGCATAATTTTACCCTTTCACATAGTCTTTGTTATACCTTCTGCTGGCCAACCACCCATTCCACCTTAAAAATTTCTCTCTCTGATCAAGCTTTGGATCACCCTTCCAAATAGCTCCTTCGAGGAGACGTGGCGATCTTCCTCTTGAACTTCCATTTCTATATATAAGGCCTCTTCTTTATTAATTCCATGATATAAATGTATATAGCTATTTTGTATAAATATTCAGAAAAAAACTCAAAAAATCACACTAATTGTTAAATTCCACATGAATTAGAATTTCAATTTCAGACTAAAGATTTCTTTTTTTTTATTAATAGCCTACTTTGAAATATTATTTTAGACTTGGAGAAAACTACACACACGTCCTTAATTTCTTTCTGAAACTGTATACATCACGAAAACATTGGCCTATTGTTTATCTGACCCAAACATGTGGTCATATTTTCATAAATGAGTCCTGGATAACATGACCCAGTGTCATTTGACAGCCTACACATTCTTCCCACCTGGTTGCTTTTAGCTTTAATGTTCTTTGGTTTAACTCTATTATTTGCTCCAGCCATAATTCCACTCGGGAACCTATTCCTTGCTTTCCAATGAACTATTAGGAGTTAAGTTATAAAGCAGAACCTCCGAAGTACTAATCTTGACATTATTGTCTGAACTATAGGTCATAGAGTCATACAGTACAAAAACAGACCCTTCGGTCCAACCAGTCAACACCAACCATGTTCCCAAACTAAATTAATCCCATCTGCCTGCTTTTGGCTCATATCCCTTCAAACCTTTCCTACTTATGAACATATCTAATTGTCTTTTAAACATTGTAACTGTACCTGCATCCACCACTTTCTCTGGCAGTTCATTACACACATAAATCACTGTAAAAAAGTTGCCCCTCATGTTCCTTTTAAATCTTGCATAGTGCGTGTTAAGATAAGGAGTTAATTGTGCGGCACAAAAATTGTTATGGGTGGGAACGGTTTTCAGTTCATGGAGTAACAGCACCACTTTTGAAGTAGAACAGATCTATTCTCGTGAGACAGACTTCACTTGAACCATGTTGGCACCAGTGCCCTGGCTAATCAAGTAACTATGGCTGTACAGTGGACTGTAAGCTAATGGGAGTGAGGGGGAGAGAGAGTTGAGGGGAGTCAAAACAAAAAAGGATATGGAAGCATTACAGAGCAATTATGTGGATAATAACACCCAAAATGGGATAGAAAGGATGAGTGTACACGCATAGAAAAAAAAAAACAAACATGGTCGGAGTTGGGTTGGTGGGGGGAGGAAGTGGTGTGCAAAGATAAAATTTATGGTTCTTTACTTAAACACACGTAGCACATGGAACAAAATTAATCAATTAATGGCACAAATAGAGGTTAATGGATATGATTTCATAGCCATTACAAAGACATGTTTCCAAGATTAAAGCTGGGAACTAGATATTCAGGGAAATGTAGCTTTTTGATACAACAGGCAAGCGGGAAGGGCGATGGTGCAGCTTTATCAATATGAAATGAAATAAACACAACAGCAAGAAATGACCTTGGATCGGAAGATGTAGAATCCATAAGAATTGGGGTGAGAATAGCAAGGCAAGAAGGCTGGTCCATTAGGTCCTTTAGCACAAGCTATACTGTACAGCAGAGACTAAATAGGGAGATAATGACGGCTTATTAAAATGACTGCATTAATCATGGCTGACTTTAATCTTCAAGAAGATTGGGAAAATCAAATTGGCAGAGATAGCCACTAGGAAAAATTGTGTTCAGGACTATTTCCTATTGGGGCGGCATGGTGGCTCAGTGGTTAATACTGCTGCCTCACAGCACTAGGGACCCAGGTTCAATTCCACCATGATGCAACTGTCTGTGTGGAGTTTGCATATTCTCCCCGTGTCTGCATGGGTTTCCTCCGGGTGCTCCGGTTTCCTCCCACAGTCCAAAGGTGCGTAAATTAGGTGGATTAGCCATGCTATGTTGCCCCATAGTGTCCAGGGATGTGCAGGCTAGGTGGATTAGCCATGGGAAATGCAGAGTTACAGGGACAGCCTCGGGCGATGGTCTGGTGGGATGTCTTCAGAGGGTCGGTGTTGACATGATGGACCAAATGGCGTGCTTCCACACTATAGGAATTCTATGATTCTA